AAATTAATCCATTAAAAATCAAGTATAAAAAACAAACCCTGTACATAAATATAGGGTTGGGTTGTATTCTCGGGGCCCCAGGCCCAGGCACATAACCAGGTCCTCAAGGCCTTACGAAAGGCCAACAGGGTTGGGCTCATCCTAATCTCTGAAGGGAGAATGTTCCAGAGGGCAGGGGCTATGGCAGAGAAGGCATGTCTCCTGATCCCCGCCAGCCAACATTCCTTGGCTGACAGGACCTGCAACACACCCAACCTGCTGAAACAAATTGGAAGGGTAGAAACAATTGGGAGAAGACGGTCCCTTAGGTAACCCGGTCCCAAACTATGAAGGGCTTTAAAGGTGACAATCAGCACCTTGAATTGCACCCAGAAACATACCGGCAACCAGTGCAGCTCACAAAGTAGTGGTGTTTCACGTGTCGAATATCCGACACCATTTACTACCTGTGCAGCCGCATTCTGTACCAGTTGAAGCTTCCAAATGCTCTTCAGGGCGGCCCCACATAGAGTGCATTGCAGTACTCCAGACTAGAGGTCACGAGGGCATGAGCGACTGTGAGCAAAGTCTCCCGGTCCAGGAATGGGCACAATTGGGCACAACCCAAAGGTGTGAGAAGGCCCTCCTAGCCACGGCTGCCACCTGCTCTTTGAGCAGGAGCTGTGAGTCCAAGAGGACCCCCAGATTGCGCACTGGATCTGTCTAGGGCAGTGCTACCCCATCCAGGATGGGAGATGGAAGAGCCTTGTCACCAGAAGGCCCAAATACCCAGAACTACTCAATCTTGCTTGGGTTGAGTCAAAGTCCATTGTGCCCCATCCAGGCCCCTACCGCCTCCAAGCACTGAGACAGGACATTCACGGCATCGCTCAGTCTGCTCAGTAATGATCTCTGGATTCAGTTCAGAGAAATCCCAGTCAGCATGGTCCTGCTAGCTTATGCAATTTTGAGAGCTGAAGTTCAACAGACTCTGATGGTACCAAGACCAGAAATACTGGTACTGAATAACGTACTCTACTTGCTTGCTTCCACCCAGAGGATTCCTCAGTGCCAGGTTTTGTACCACGTTCTGTTTCCTAAGCACTTCCATAGGCTGCATGTAACCAGATTGTGTCTCACCGAGGCCAAGTCCACCTTCTCCAGATAAGGCAGGTGTACCTCCATTGAATGCAACAAAGGCAGTACACCCCAAATCACACATCTGACTTCTTTGAACATTTGTAATAGAAAGGGGGGGGGGGACTCTATTATTTATGTACTTGTTTATATGCGTGGAGCAGTCCCAAAAGAAAGCAAAAAACTATTTCTCCTTACCCACTGCACTGGGTGTTTGGAGAACACCCAAAAAAAAAAAAAGATGACCGTGCCAGATAGCTCACTAGGAACTCACATTTTGATAATAACTGAAGTATCAGGAATTGTACAACAGAATTCCATTACCGCAGGGACACACTGACCCATAATTTTTAAATACTGAAGTTCAGTTTCAGATGAAGAGAGAAATGAATAAATAAGCCGTGCCTCTGAGTCAATTTTGAGTCCATGCAGTTACCCAGCTCTAGGAAGAAGGCAATGGCCCCCCATAATTTTGGAAGTGGGAGGGGCCATTGCCTTCTTCCTAGGGCTGGGAAAGAATGGCTGGCTGAAAGTCACCCAGCTGGCTTTGTGGCTAAGGCAGGACCAGAACTCAGGGTCTCCTGGTTTCTAGCTTGGTGCCTTGACCACTACACCAAACTGATTTGCAGAGAGAGAGAGAGAGAAAGGTAGACAGACAGACAGTCATTTCAATAGGAGCAGCAAGACTGAACACAATCAATATCACGGTACTCTGCCAACATAACTTTCCAAGTCCCTTCACAATCTTTAGTACAACTTGTCGTGTCACCAAAAGTTCATTGAACTCTAATCAGGAAGACCTGGATTCCAAACTAAGCCACAGACATTTATAGAGCGGCTTTGTGACTTCCCTGCGTTCCATTCTAACATATGAGGAAGCAACAATGGCCGCCTTGAAAGAAAAAGTATTAAAAAGAGAAATGAGATCAGAGAAATTTTGCTATTTTCCCCTGGGGAAAGGATGAGTGGCACTTTCAAGTATCCAAAAAAAAAAAAAAAAATCAGTTCCATATAAGCGAAACTTCCTTTAGGCCTACAGGAGCTAAGAACTGAGCATGCTGTTACTGGATTCTGTATAGGCCAAAGTTTCTCAACCTTGGCAACTTTAAGATATGTGGACTTCAACTCCCAGAATTCTATGCTGGCTGGGGAATTCTGGAAGTTGAAGTCCACATATCTTAAAGTTGCCAAGGTTGAGA